TTTCAACTGGAGGCCGAGGCTAGTCTCCTATTCCACAACCCCGGAGCATACAAATCCGAAGTTCGACCGGAAGAAGAATGATGAAGATGGTTTCGACTCAGAGTGGGTCAACTGTGAAGAAAGGAAGAAGACGATGTTTTCCTCGAGGATTCCAGCATAGGAAGTGTGAGAAGTACATGCTCAAAAAGCTCTTCTCTAGCATTAGAGACCTTGGAACAAAACTTCTATTCGGGGAAGAAACTCTGCCTAAGACTGTGAAGCCTTTGGAACCTTGGAAGAGTTTGGGAATGGGAGGCGGTACTTCGGGTGAGGTGAACATCTTGGCCAAAGACAGAAGAGCCTGTCATGAGTCCACAACAAGGTCAAGGTGTCTGTAGATCGAGTACATTGTCTTCCAATTTGAATGGCAAAGCAACAGACATTCCCTATTCCCCTGTTCATGCAACACAGTTTGATCCTGAGGAGACTTCCCCCAGCAAACTCCCTCAAAACTTAGGCAGGTTTGGAGACACTTCGGGTATTGGTGACTCTGGTATGGATTGTCATTTTTCTAATTTTTCTCGAGTTTTTGGTGCTAATATTTCCCCTTTCCCAATTGTTGTTTCATCTCAGGCTGCAGGTGGAGTCGTTTCTCATCCTGAAACTGCCTGTCCTAGTGAATCACTAGAAGTAACACAGGCATTAGAAAATGTGGAGGCTTTGAATGAATCTGTGGAGGAAGGGGAAAGGATTTCGAGATTAATATTGCATCTTTAGACTTCTGGCAGAGGAGGAATTAGGGGCCAACTTTGATAAGGAAGAGGAGGGTGATACTCCAATTCCTAGTACCTGGGAATGGGGAAGGGAGGGTGAAGGGACAGCTACAGGTGAAAAAACATCAAAGAGGGAGAATAGGAGGAAGAGTCGGTAAAAGAAGAGTTGTAGACCAAGAGAAACCTATGAATAAGCTTGAAGGAGGGATGCCTAAAAGGAGAAAGAAGAAATTGAGTGAAGTGGAGAAACTGAGGTGTGAAGTGAACCATGGCAAGGGGTGTACTGGAGAAAGGGATTAGTCAGGTTAACTAAAGGTGTTGTTAGGGATTGATCATAAGGTTGTTTCTCAATGAAGATTATTAGTTGGAATGTAAGGGGTTTGGGGAGCTCTAGGAAAAGAAGATTGATAAGGGAAGTTCTCAGAAAAGAGAAGCCAGATGTTTTGTTAATTCAAGAATCAAAATTATTAGAAGTGGATAGGAAATGGGTGAGAAGTATTTGGTCGGATAGAGGACTGAGTTGGGCTTTTGCACAGTCTTGGGGAGCCTCAAGGGGAATTCTTACAATCTGGAAAAATGAGGAATTGGATTGTACAAAAGAATTAATTGGTAACTTTACAGTTACAATCAAATAAAGAAGAGAGACGATGGACTAGAATGGGCTTTACCAAATGTTTATGGGCCAAACTCATATAGGAAAAGGGAGGAGCTYTGGGAGGAGTTAACAGTTATAAGGGGCTTATGGGAGGGTCCATGGTACTTGGGAGGGGATTTTAATGTCGTTAGGTTTGTCAATGAAACAAATAACCCCAACCATAGGGTCACCTCAAGTATGAGGAAGTTCAACTCTTTTGTGGATCCTTTGAATTAAGAGAGTTGTCAATGTTGCAAGTTGAATATTCCTGGTCTAATCTTCAGAAAGAGCCCTTTTGTTGTAAGTTAGACAGGTTCTTATTCTCTTCAGATTGGAAGCGTGGAGAGGCCTGGTGGTGAGGGCCCTACCTAGACCTACTTTGGATCATTGTCCAATTAGACTATCACAGGAAAGATTAGGAGAACGACCTTGCCCTTTTAGGTTTGAGAACACATGGCTGCTACATCCAGACTTTCAAAAGAAAGTCAAAGAGTGGTGGGAAGAGGATCAAGTGGTGTTTAGGTGGGAAGGATAAAGATTCTACAAGAAGCTACAAAAGTTGAAAGCCAGGATCAAAGCTTCGAATAAAGAATAGTTTGGCAGAATTGATGATAGAAAGGAGGCTATTATTAAAAGGATTCAAGAACTTGATGTTGCTGAAGCAGAGAAAAGGGTTGAGGTTTGAAGAAAGGGAAGAGAAATGGACGTTGAAATATGACCTAGAGGAAATCCTTAGAAAAAGAGATATGTTGGAGACAAAAATCAAGATGCAAGTGGATGAAGGAGATGGTAATACAAGATTTTTTTCACAATTTGGCAAATGGAAGGAAGAGAAAGAACAATGTTGTAAGTTTGGAATGAAATGGTGTAGTGTTGACAAGAGAGGAAGATATTGCAAGAGCTTTTGTGGAGTATTTTAAATCCATTTATGACAACCCCAGTAGAGTGAGAGAGACCCTAGTCGACTTTGAGTGGCATACTAGAGAAAGGGAATTGTTGGAACCCCTAGAGAGGCCATTTTAGGTTCAGGAAATAAAAGAGGTAGTATTCTCTATGGAAAGATCAAAAGCCCTAGGCCCAAATGGTTTCACTATGGCATTCTATCAAGATTGTTGGGATATTTTAGGTAATGACTTGGTGGAGGTTTTCTTGGAGTTCTTTGAAAGAGGAAATATAAATTCAAGTGCAAATGCCACTTTTATAGCCCTGATCCCCAAGAAGGTGTCTGCAAGTCAGCCTAAGGACTTTAGACCAATTAGCTTGATTGGGGATTAAAATCTACTACTACTAGATTTTAATAGCCAATGAATGTGGGGATTACACAAAAGACAACGAGAGAAGGATCTGATTGTAAGCTTGACCTAGAAAAGGCATACGACTTGGTGGATTGGGATTTCTTGCTAGAAGTGTTGAGGAACAGAGGTTTTGGAGAGAGATGGTGTAAATGGATTAAGGATTGTATTACCTCTTGTCACTTTTCAATCTTAGTAAATAGAATAGCTAGGGACTTCTTTCTTGCTAAGAGGCTACTACTACTACTTTTTCTTTTCTTCTTTTCCTATAACAAATATAAGGGTTCAAACCCTATATTTTTTGAATTTTCTTTTCCTTCTTTTTTTTTCTTCTCATGAATATGTTGATTTTCTATACTTTAACGTGAACTCTATACTTTTCTTATGAATAATCATTAAGGAAATATGGCCATGGTACCTAGGGAACTACCCTAGGATCTACGTTTTCTATATAAAAATATTGATCAAAAAAAATATTTTCTATATAAAAAAGTCCAACGCCTAGGTGTCCCCCTGACGCCCAGCCTCGCCTTGGCGCCTTGAAAACTATGTGGCTAACCTCCCGGTGTATTTTTTGTCTACCTTTAAATTTCCTATCAAGGTTGCCAATTAGATAGAAAAGCTTATGAGAGATTTTCTACAGGAACCAGGAGACTAAAAAACGGACCATCCAATGAAATGGGAAGTAGTTTCTAGGAAAAAGGAATTCGGGGGTCTAGGCATAGACAATATTAGATTAAGAAATGTAGCATTGTTAGGGAAGTGGCTGTAGAGGTTTCCCCTAGAGCAAGACAGTTTATGGCACTTGGTGGTGGAAAGCATTCATGGGATGGCAGCTAATGGATGGGATGTTGGTGTCGACCCTAGGGCTTCTCATTTCTCCCCTTGGAAAGCCATTGCTGGAGTCTTGCCTACCTTTCATCCTTTCATTAGATTTGATATGTATGCTCAGGTAACGAAATTCTGTTCTGGTAGGATCTTTGGTTTGGGAACACACCCCTTTAAGGACAGGCTCCCCATTTCCTCATTCTGTGTGTCTGAGGGGACCTGAAATTTGGGCTTGATAAGAGGATCGAGGGATTCAGAATTGGCTTGTGCAGATGAACTGTTTACTTAGTTGAGTTCAGTGACAAAGCCCTCTTCAGGGATCTTCTCTTGCTCCTCTCAATTCCCTAATTCAGCCTTTTGCTGCGCCTATCCCCTTTCCTGCTAAAGGAATGTGGTGTATTCCTGTTCCACCAAAGGTTAGGGCTTTTTGCAGGGAAGTGGCTCCCCAAAAGATCAATAATATGAATGTACTTCAAAGAAAAAGACCAAATTGGTGCCTTTCCCCACATGTCTATTGCCTTTGCTTAAGAAGTGGTGAGACGACAATTCATCTTTTGATTTCTTGTACTTTTGCTTCTTACTTGTGGGATTAGCTTTCCTCTCTTTTTGGTTGCAAGTGGAATCCCCCTCGTGTGTGCTGAACCTTTTTGACTCTAGCTTCTTCCAATAAACAAAGAAAAGAGGTAGGGTAATGTGGAGAATAACAAGAGCAGCTGCCCTTTGGTTGATTTGGGAAGAAAAAAATAATAGGATTTTCCGAGGGCAAGAAAAATCCAAGGAAGCACTTGTTGAGGGCATTTCCATCAAGATTCTACATTGGCTGAAAGTCCTGCATCTATTCAAGGACTTCTCCACAGTTGATTTAATTAGAAGTTGGAGTTCTATAGCTGTATCCTCTCCCTCTTCCCCTTTAGTTCAAAAGAGTTGGTCCCCACCACTTCAGTTCAGGGTGAAATTAAATTTTGATGGAAGCTCGTTAGGTAATCCAGGTCCATTGGCACGTGAGAATGTTTTCAGAAATGAGGAAGAGTTTTGACCCGTACTCAGGCCCGATTGGGGTGGGAGATTCCTTAAGGGCAGAAGTCAAGGCCTTACTCCAAGGCCTGAGATTGGCAAAACAATGGGGAATGCAGCACTTACAAGTGGAAGGAGACTCCAAGCCGGTAATAAGGTGGATGTAATCTAGAAACCTAGGAGTGTGGTCACTTAGACAGCCACTAAGAGAGATTTCAAGCTTAGCAAGGGAGCTTGGGCCATTTAGTAACCTCGGATGCTACAGGTTAGCTGGAAGAAAAACAAGTTTAACTTCATAGTCCAAGAAAAACACAAGCTATAACACAATGCTAATAACAAAAAGATAAGGCCTACCCACACAAACTTTGGTTCTTGTAGTTGTAGAAATAGCATTCTTTTTGAGTATGGACTGAATCTTAATATGATAGGCRCTATGTAAAAAAATAGATAACAGTTAGAAGAGGATAACTTCATAACTACCTTAAATGAAGGAAGGTCAGGTGCATCCCCTGTTGGTTCTGTAACCATATGAGCAAAAGGAGAATTCCCAACAAAATATGTGTGGGAAAGGTCTCCAATTACATATTTTAATGCGGACTCTGCACACTGCAATTTAAGGGCATAATCAGCATACAAAAAACTTTTAGACGAGAAATAGGAAACAAACCAAAAAAGGGAAAAATGGCAGGTTGATGTCAACCTTGCGTAATGTCTCTTCATCCTCGTAAACTTTTTCAGGAAAATGCCAGACAGGTTTTCCTGCTGGAGCCCCATAACCACTACCATAGAGGAGAAGATAAAGTCGTCTGTCAAGTGCTCGCTGTAATGACCTTAAAGAAAGAAAAGAAAATCAGACATTTGCAGTAAATCATAGACTYCATTATGTCAAAGACATTCAGAACCCAAACTTGGCTCAAAGACACCCAGAAGTCAGTTCAGTAGACAACTTCCAAAGTGCATTTCTTGTTATTACATAAAATGCATGTTTGAGAATTCTAATGTCAAAATTTTGCTTTCTTTTTCTGTACAAAGACATTATCTAGCTAGAAAATAAAATTCATATATATTTTTATATACTAACCTAAAAGGCATATACAACATTCAAGTTGCTTTCACAAACTATGTCTTATCTTTCAGAGAATTTATAGCATCTGAAATAAATATCAATAACTCGTTAAAAACAAGAATCCACAGAAAAGAAGTAGCAAACCTCTTCAAATAGTGAGCAGTAAATGGAAAAGATTGTTCAGTTAATTCGTTTGGTAGAGTGACTGCCACAAGGTAAGCCATATTACAAGCTTTCTTTTATTACATTTTCCTAGTCAATACTCAAAGTAATGCTATAAAAGGTTGAAATGCCAACCGGGTTCCATTTCCCAAAGGGATCTCCAATGTCTAAAGTCAATGGGAAAACAGAGCAGAAAAATGTAAAGCTGGATTTAATGAAGAAACAACATATAAAAGAAAATGATTAGCAATAATCTGAATGGAGTTTTATCCCTATTGCTGAAGCAAGAGGCAACTGATAATCTGAACCTTGGTCTGCTCATATGCTAACATTGTGTCAGGTAGTATTCAGTCCCCTTTGTTTTCACTTTTCAACTGACAAATCTTTATGATTCATAGACCACAACATAGTGCCTTCCAGACATTATGAAAGCAATAGCACAWAGAAGATGAATTTGACATAAGAGACCATCGCTTTGTACAATAGTAAAATCTCAGGCTTACAAGCATGAATGAAGGTTTGAGTTTGACAGTAACCACTGTGTGCAAATTGCTGATCAAAAAAAGGGGCTATATCCATATCCAGTCCACCCTTCCCAAGACCCAAGAAATCTGGGACCAACATTGGGTAATGACCCTTTTAAGATGACTTTGACATGATTATAGAAATATGAAAATATAGCCCAAAGCAACAATTGTTCCTAGTGCAATTTAACAGAGATGAATATTCAGTTCAGACTGTTCACTTCAAAAAGAACTAACAATGTACTCATGCTATGCTAATAAACTTTTATTAGAATATGGAATATGAAATGAATTAATACAGCAACAAACAAAAAGATAAAGAGATTTGCATATTTATGCGTTCTGGATCTCTCCTACTAAAATGCATTTCATATAAGTTTACCCTGTACCTTCTATCATTTTTTTTGTCAGCTTCAGTGGCCCGTGGAGCTGGTACATAGTCAATCTGGTAGTCACCTTTTCCCCTGATCAAAAAAGCAATTTTCGTATGGAAAGGGCATATAGAGCAAATATGTAGGAATTTATGAACTAGATATAGATGAGTGTCCTGAACTAAGCTACAACATTCAATAACACTTGAAACCAAAAGGTGATATTTTAACACAGTTGAAACTGCCAATCCACCAGGGGGCTAAAATTATGAAATAAGAAAAAGACAGTCTTTTATGAAAATAATATATCCCTATTTTGTTTCTCCATTATTTCTTACTCTTGACCTCTTATTTATCTTTCCCAACTAGCAGGGGCCTATACAATGCATGAATTGGTGTTACGAACAGTATTTTAAGACTCAGACCGGACACAAAACCGGAATGGCCGCCGGGTAAACAGGTGTATGGGCAGTGGCTATATGGCTAAGATGTTGGTTTTTGTATAATTGACCAGGGTTCAAGTCTTGCAACTTGCATTTTATTTAGAAATACACATGTTTGACCAATATTTATGTTAAAAGAGACAAATATTCACAAGAGACACACTGAGTTAATGGTTGAAGGCTAATATTCTCAAGTTCAAATCCTCTTACTCTCATTTTGAAGTTTCTAGCCATTTGTTGACCCAGGTGGGTCATGGAAACCTGGTTGGATCATTCAAACCAACTGGTTTTCAACAGTTCTGCTGGGTTTTGATCGGTTCCACCGGTTTAAAAAATAAAAACTGGGAATTTTAAAAACCATAATGCCTTCTGGTTCCCTGGTTGACTGGTTCGACCATCCGGTTTTATCCAAATCTTAAAACATTGGTTAAGAATGCCCCATGTTTTGTAGGGGGCCCAGGTTCTTAAAAATGCATTAGCTTGGGTATAGCAAAAAATGCTCATGTCAGTACCTAGCATTTTCTGGAGGGAAAGCAGTTTTTGGAGTGGGAGAGGGTAGGAGAGAGGAGAGAGAAATTTTCAGGAAGAAAGAAAAAAGGCTTTCGACAGGGGGAGTTTTAGGAATTGGATTATTGGAAGCAAGTTAAGGGAGAGGTAGACTGCAAACATTAGTCATCTGCTAAAGAAAAAAAAGTACAAGATAGGAAAGGAGGGGGAACAATGGCTGAAGGAAATGGAGGCAAATAACTCAAATTCAACGGCTGAAGGAAGGTGGCAATAATACTGCCTTTTTCACAAGGTAGCAGACACAAGGATGAGGGAGAACACCATAAAAAAGGCTTGAAATTAATGGAGTAGTTTTTGAGGACGTATAGTTAAAGGAGGATATCTCTGGCTATTTCGCTGATCTGCACAAAGAAAAATGGAAGATCTTACTGACCCTTGATGGACTGAATTTCAGCTGCATACCAAATGAGCAAGCTAGGGAATTGGAAACTTGTTTCTCAAAGGAGGTAAAAGGGGCAATTGGTTAAATGAGTGAGGATAAGTCATCGGGGCTCAATGGTTTCACCCTAATATTCTTCATGAGGCACTGGCACTTTTTAAAGGAAGATTTGATGAAAGTGTTCAGGGGGTTTCATATGAATGCATCTTTTGAAAGGAGTTTGAATGCAATATTTACATCCTTGATACCTGAAAAAGAAGGGATAACAAACTTACAAGACTTGCCATATCAGCCTTCTCAATAGTGTATATAATATTAGGAAAGGACGAAAGGTATTGGCCTTGCACATGATAGAGGTAATGAAAGATATCATTTCTCAGATCCAAGGAGTGTTTGTGTAAGAGAGATAGATTATAGATACTTGATGAGATGTTGATTGTAAATGATCTTATTGACTCTAGAGAAAGATGTGAGGAAGCAGAAGTGCTTGTTAAAGCAGACTTGGAAAAAGCATTTGATCACGTGGCTTGGAGATTCTTGGACTATGCCCTAACATGGATGAATTTCAAGTCTACCTGGAAAAGTTAGATTGAAATGTCTGTTACAACTCCATCCTTTGTGATGATTACAAATGGGGGAATGCATGGTCATTTCTTTAGCTCGTGAAGCTTAAGGCAAGGGGACTCCCTATCTCTATGCATATCTATATGCATGTGTTAAGTCCTTAATTTTGTTGGACTGGGAGCATGTTATTAAAGTACTCCCAACCATAGCATAAAAAAAGAAATGGGCCTTTTAAAAAAAAAAGAAAAGAAAAGAAAAGAAAGGGCCTTTCTTTCCAAGTTGATTTTCTAAGCTCAGTCCTATGGGTGGGCTGAAGTAATTTATTTAGGAAAGAAAGGGAACTACAATTCATTTTAGTGAACAGTGGCCCTAAATTAATTAGGCCTTACTAACGATTCAGTCATAGTTGTCAAGGCGGCACCTAGGCGACTAGGCGGTTTCCTGAGGACACCTCGCCCAGACGACTGAAGCTTTTAACATTAGGTGCCCGCCCAGAATATTAGGCGGTCGCCTAGTGTTATTAGTCCTGGAATTGTTATATTTCTTATGAAATGTTATTGGCAGTCTTATATTTATACATAGAACCCGTTACATGTTAACATTATTTTTATTTGTTTTCTAAAACACTAAAACTGAGTTTTGTGTTTCTTGTAGGGTTTTCTCATTTGACCAAACCCACCAAACTGTGAAGGAGGAAGAGGAACTCCACCGAACTCGACCAGCTACAGCTTCAGCTCGAGGTATGTTTTGTTTTTTTTTTTTTTCAGGTCGCCCAAAACCCCACCCAGAAGTCCAGAACGTGGTTTTTTTTATTCTCTTATTCTTCCAATCTGAATGAAAAACAGGGGCTCCACCCCCTTTTTCCTTTTCAGTTTTGAGCGAAAAAACATGGGCTCCGCCTCCCCCACTTTCTTTTATCATTTTTGCATGACAAAACAGGAGCTCCGCCCCCTTATTTTGTGACATTTGCATTACAAAACTGGGGGTCCGCCCAGTGTTTTAAAAGCGCAAGGCACAAAAATACAAAAAAAAATTGCTAAACATCAAAAAAAAAGTCAGAAAATTCAAAAAATGCAAAAAAAATCAAAAATATTAAAATTTAAACATAATATTAATAAGAAATATAAACTTAACTTTTAAAGTTTATGTTTTAAAAACCCTATTATCTAAAATTAAAAGACATAAACATAACATGTAAAGCATATTCAAATGAGTATTTAAAAATAAAATCAAACATATAAAACATTTTCAAGCATGTACAGCCCACAATCTCTTTTTTCCTCAATTGCACTACTTCAAGTAGCTAATGTGATGTAAAACATATTACATTCCTGATTCTACGAGTTGCCTTTGTGCCATGCCCCTCGAGGCAAAGCCCAAACAAGTCCATGTTAGAGTCTTAAATTCTTAATTCTCACACAAAAAATAATGATTTATAATTTTAATTGTCGTTTAAGAAGATATTTTATTAAGATGAATGAATGAACAACATTAGCAAATAGGGGGTTCTCAGAGCTTCGGCGAGCGAGCGAAGCAAGCGAATGCTTGGGCCAAGGTGCAAGGCACATCAGGTTTTGAAAGTGCTGCACCTTAGGACCTGGGCAAGGCACCTACCCTAAAATGCGCCTCGCCTGTGTGCCTAGGTGCACCTCAGGCGTGCCTTTTAAATCGCTGTCTCTGCCCCCCCCCTTTTTCTTACTCAGCTTTGACTAAGTGAAAAAAACAGGGGCTCCGTCCCACTGCTTCGTTTTTCATTTTATGGGTGAGAAATCACTCTGTTTTCTATAGTGTTTTCAACCCGACATTGACCCAAACGGTTGAACCGCTCGAACAATCGTGCGGTCAAGATTCTGGGCCGATTTGAGTAAAACCCAGAGAAGGTCAAAAATCGTTGACTTGGTCAAAAACCGTCTGACCCAGACGGTTGGACAATTGACCTGTTCGACCCGGTGAGTCATGGAGATTAGATACAAGGTGGGAAATGGTCACAGGGTGAGGTTTTGAAGGGATGCTTGGTGCAGTAGCTGTCCTTCCATGGAGGTGTTTCCTTCATAGTTCATATGATATGGATCCAGGTCTGAGAAGAATTTGAACAACAGGGAAATAGAAAGTTGGACAGACGTGAAAAGGAGATTAAGCAATGAACTGCCTAACACAAGCAGCAAATCTGGGTTCGGGAAGGTTTGCGGGTCTTTTCTTCAAGGTCCTTCTTCAGGAAGACTGAGCAGGTTGCAGCCAACGATTTCCCTTGACAAAGAATTTGTATCTCTCACATCCCCATCAAAGGTTTTTTCCCTAGCATGAACARAAGTCCCAAGAAAGTGCTTGACTAGGGACAGCCTGGTCAGGAGAGGCTTTCTGCTGGATAATGTCCGGTGTGTGATGTGTGGGGTAGCAGTGGAATCTGCTAATCACCTGTTTGTTCATTGCAAGTGGCTAGATCATCATGGGACAAGTTAACAGGCTGTTTCAGGGTGAAAGGTTTGCTTCTCAGCAACATTGGTAAGCTTTGCTGCATAGCTGGCATGGTCCAGGCTTAACTATGAAATGTGTGCCATGAAGAAAAGGGTGATGCACCTAAATATTTGAAATTATTGGTTAATCATCTAAAATTCCCATGTTGGCTATTCCTATGTCGTCTAGACCCATTTGCTAATCACAGAGAGAAGGAGTTGGCAAGCACAGAGAGGAGAGAATATGAGCTTATGTGGACCACATTGCTATATATGTATATACTCTTACATATCTACCTTATATCTATCCTATTTCTCTCTCAATTTTGCAATGGAAGGAAACTATTTTACTATTAATAGATCCTGACTTGTCACCCTTGGTACCTGAGGGAAATCCTAAGATTTTCACTCTTTATCAGCAATAGGATCAAAAAGAATTTTTATTAAAATGTAGAAGAAAATATTAAAGAAGATTTGCCTGTAGTGTTAACAGGTCGCACTTGTTAATGGAAGCTTATAGTGAATGTTCAAGAAAATTCCAGCTACTTTTAAGTGAACAAACACTTCTGCAACTGAAGATGCTCAAACTTTTGGCGTATGTGCAAACTAAAAAAAAATTTAGAGCATGTTTTGGTGCAACAAGAAAAAAAATCATATTATTTGGTTCTAAAGGCAACTGAACCAACATTGTAATCATCCAAAATGATGTCATTTGTAGTCGCTACCACCTACCAGATATATATAAGAATTCATTTTCTTGAAATCCTGAAAGATATACGGAACTAGCTCCATTTTAAAGGTCTATGCTCTGAAACACAATGTAGTACAACGATGACACCATTCGTTCCAGTAGCATCCAAATTTCAAACATGCTGCTAGCTCTTGAGAGTCATTCCCCAAACCACCTTTGAATTGAAATGCGCCAATACATGGATTTTGGTTCTGATATCCTGAAGACCTCCCTCATTGAAGATGTGACTTAGCAATGCCTCAAGTGACAGATAGTTTTCACAACAAATTTTACCCAACCATAACCTAAGGGTCCTAAGCATGACTAAATAAATAACTCACGTTTTTTGTCTCTTTGATTAGAAACAGCATAAATAATTCACCAGTTCTCTTGCTCCCGACTTTCCCCTTCCAAAAACCTGTCAACATATGGTTATATCTTCGTGCTCCCCTTACCTCATTTAAATGACTGATAGGTTTTACCAAATACTGAACCAGTTCCCTCTTTACCAAAATAAAAGAACTAGTTCCCTTTTTCGTATCAATCAAATATTAAGCCAATCAACCATGACCAATGAACTTAAAATGTAGATGAAACAGACAGTCATCTAGCATCAACAGTCGTATACAATACTTAAAGATGAAAAGAATAGCTAATTCACCTGGTATCGGACTTGCTTAAGACCTCATCCGGATATTTTCGTCGGTATTGCTGTCTCCATAGAAACCTACAAGACTCATTCCACCAGCTATGTCAGGAGCCTCATTCTCCCTTTTACTTTTAATTTATGTATTTATTTATTTATTTTTACCTTTTTGTTGAGAATCACGACCAGTTTTGGAAATTAATTGAACATCCTTGAGTATATCGTGAGTATTTATCATTTATTTTTGAAAACAAAGGATCACAAATCTGATTAAAAACACAAATGGATGAATATAATGTGGTGAGAGAGAGAGAGGAAAAAAAATAAACTCACGAGAACTCCTGAAATGCATAGACTACGGGATCAATCTTTGGAATAACGACTGGTAATCTCTCGAACAATACAGCAGCAACAATCTTATCTGTATTTGAATTAGAAGATGTGCAGAACCCTCGCGTTCTAACAAGAGATCGAGATAACAAGTTGAGCTTCTGCATTGCTCAATATATCCTCTTTTTCATTGCCCGTACTTATTCCAAATTCCCAATCAATATTTTCCGACGATCGACCAAAGACCTCCCTAAACCCTAGGGAGCAGAGGCTCAGAGAGATCTTCTGTCAGCAATTAACGGTGACTGAAAATGAATTGCCCCGTAATAGGACCAAAATGCCCTTTACAACCATAAAAAAATAACGGAAAAGTAGAACAGGCGTAATGCAGATTTCTCAATTTCACTGTAAGCTAGAAACATTCAAAATGTCAAAAACCTACACTTTATACTTCTATGCCGGCCCGTGAATCGTGGCATCAATTCTGAGTGGCACCCACCCCAACTATATTTATAAAGTATTATAAATAATTTATAAAATTAAATTTATTAAAAATATTTATTTATATTAAATTAACAATAATCATTTTCAGTAAATCAACATTAAATAAAAACATGCAATTATTAAATTTTTAAATATCAACACTAATTTTGAATATTTTTAATTAATTAACAGTAAAATTTGATTATTAATTTGTCAATTAATTAATAATTGAAAAAAGTAAAATCAAAGAGGGCCTTAAAAACTGATCCATTGGCACCTAGAAAAAAATGAGATCAGTTTCAATTAGTGCAAGGCCTGTTTGAACACGGTCGAATTACAGTCTTGCATTGGGAACATCTCTATACTTCATGGGAAGATATTCCCACTCCGTAGTCAAGACATTCTACTCCATCCTTGCTCCGTCCTCGACGTCAGGTAGATTCARGGCAAGGCACCCACTCCTCATCAAGGACAGGGAATTCTCAAATTTYCCCTTCCCTGCCCTCTCGATATTGGAACAGGTTTAGGGTAAGGCATTCACTCCCTGTTAGAGAGGGGAATACTCGAATTTCCCTGCCCTGTGACAATCACCAAAAAATAATCTATTTTGGGGGTATTTTAGTAGTTAGATCATGACAATTTGGGGTACTTTATAAATTGAATTATGGGACCCTTGGATTATAAGAATTTCAGAAAAACTTAGAGATATTTTAAAAATCAATATTAAATCTAAGGATATTTTACTAATTTAGCATCGGGTTTGAGGAATTATATGCAAAACATATCCCAAACCTATCCCTAATTTGGGGCAAAAATATTTTCCCCGTCCTCACCCCATCCTTGCCCCATCTCCATTTAAGGTCGAGGAAAACTTGCCCAATTTGGGGCAGAATAGGGTAAGGCCCCAATCTTACGGGGAAAATTGCCATCCTACAATTATAATTAATAAAAAAAATATAAAGCTAACATATCAATGACTGAGATAATTAATCAATTAATAACTAGTTAGAGATTAATATATTATCTAAATTAACATAACTAATTAGTTTTAAGTTAATTAAATTATTAAATAGTATACACTAAATTAATATAGAAATTTAATTAACCAGGTCTAAGTACATTTAATATAACTATAATTTGGTCATAATAAATAAAATTAAATTAATATGTTAGATTAAATTAACATATTATTTGTATTAACCTAATTAATTATTCTACCCTTTAGCGTTAATTAATTATAATGTGATTTAATTACATTTGTGTTGTTACTGTGTAATAATTACATTGACATAATATTAATCAATTATCATAGATTAACAATAATCTTTCACCATTTAACATTGAACAATGTTAATTTAATTATAAATAATTAGCGTGATTTAATCTATACTACTTTAAAAAGTACATATTACTACTAAAAATTTCTAGAATTTTAGTTGGATAGAATTTGCCCCTTTGTGTTAATGCTTTTATATTTGAATTTGATGACAACTTTAATATTTTGTTGATTGTTTTAAATGAATTCACAATATTTGATAAGTCACAACATGTTTGAATATGCATTTATAAAATTCATATAACTTAAATGAGTTGTAACTGAAATTTGATGGAGTGGTGTTTAAATAGGCATTTATAAAATTCATTGAATTTAAATGAATTATAACTGAAATTTTATGGAGTGTTTAGTTGGATTATTTTTCTCTTTTAATTAATATTATATTGAATAAAATCATTATTATTGATCATCTTTAACAGTAGGTCCAATTGTCACTATTGGTGATTTTAAAATATGAATTTTGAGTGTGGCTCCACAAATCTGATTATGGTTTTTAGGTTATCTTTTCAATTGATTTATAAGTAGTTTCTACCCAATCTCAAGATGTTTGAGAGGGCCTCATCCAAAAGTATTCATTTCAAAAAGACCAGTTTTTTTTTCTAAAAAATGCCAAACAGGCTTCAAAATTGATTTCTAAGATTATAAGCATCCTAATATAAACAAAGTAACAAACAATGAAAAATACTTGGGTGTTCCAATAATTCAAGACATAATTGATAAGAAAGGTCTAAAGAACATCACAACTAAAATTAAAAAGAAAATTTTTGATAAGAAAGAGTTATCCTTGATCAAATAAGTTTTGAATGTAATTCCTTTATTTACAAGGTGTCAACTGACTAATTGTTAAGGTCTCTTACTGGTTGTAGCAAAGAGACTTGGGATCAAATCCCACATGCACCTAGGTTTGGGGGATGGGCCACCCTTGTTGTGTAGCCCCATGAAGTAAAAAAAAAAAAGAAAAAAAAAAAGAAATGTAATTCCTTTATTACAAACAATGTTCAAATGAACATACCCTCAAAAAGATTGATAAAAGACAATTATTTCGAGGCCCAAAAAAGGGAGCATTGTAGGACAAGTTAGAAAAGAATATACAAATTAGTGACTTGTTTTGGGAAAATCACTAAGAACCCTTTGGGTTTATGGAAAATCTATAAGAAGTATTCTGCCTTGTTRTTTTAATGCTTTCATATTTGAATTTGAGGACAAATTRTTTGAAATGATATAAGAATAGAACAAATTAAACCCTCCATTGTTAACTTCTTGCTAAACTATATAAGAGGATAGAAATGAAATTATTTTATGCATATTAAATAAGAGTCCATCTTCAGTAAGTGCAAGCCCCTATCGCACACCGTGAGGATGCGCCACGCGCCCTTCCGTATGTGCAACTTGTAAACCCGTGCGAGAGGAGAGTAAACGGCACTTAGCTCTCACAACCCATATTCGTTCTCTCCCTCTCCTACCAATGGCGACGAAGCGCATCACCAGCGATTGTTAATACTGGCAAACGACGACAAACCATTCTTTCCTTTTTTTTTTTTTCTTTCCCAACCAGCAACTGACAACTTTTAACACCCGAGAGCTCAGGGTTTTTGGTTCTAGAGAGTGATTTTGGAAAGAAAAAAAAAAGAATCAATACCTGATGGTCTGTCGCCGATTGCCAATGTTAATAGTTATTGGTGATGCGCTTCGTCGCTGCTGGTAAGAGAGTACCTTATTTTCTTAACTAATGCCCGATGAATGTTAACACCTGAGCACTTTTTTCTAGAGAGAGTGAACAGGGAGGTGTTTGGTTCTAGAGAGAGTGATTTGGGAAAAAAAAAAAAGAAAGAATCAATACCTGATGGTTTGTCGTTGTTCGCTGGTGTTAACATCCGCCAGTAGGAGAGGGAGAGAACAAACAGTGGTTATGAGAGATAAGCACTGTTTACTCTCCTCTCGCATGGGTTTAGATGTTGCAATCGTGGAAGGATGCATGGCGCATCCTTGCAGTGTGCAAACGGTGTGTGAACTGGGCTTGCACTAACTGAAGTTGGGCCTGCACAACATGTCTGTTTATTTTTATTCTTTTTTTAATAACTCATATGTATGGGTATACAGAAATTGCATGGAGTATTTAGCTGGACAAATTTAACTATTCTAAACACTTGGAGCTACATATTGATTTGTAGATGAATTACAATTTATTTGGAATCTATAAGAAGTGGTAATAGATCTCTAAGGCTTCTTGACTTTAAAAACCCCTTTCTTTGAATTTGGTCTCTCTCTCTCTCTCTCTCTCTCTCTCTCTATATATATATATATATATATGAAGATATAAATTGTAAATTGAATACTATTTTTCATTTCAATTTTAAGGTTAACTTCCACTCTCTGTCATTGAATCATATATTTAATGTATTTTTGTTTCTTATCATTAAATTTCACTAACTAAATCCACAAAAAACAATTTTAATAATATAAAAACTTATATATTCAAAATCAACTTGGAAACAAAATGATTTTTTAAGTGGCAAGTAGTTCAGTCATTTGGGTCAAACAATGAAGCATGCCATAATTAAATACAAAAAAAAAACTGGAAATAGAAGTACAAAAAATAAAGAAATTTTATAGAAAAATTTGGGCACATCTCTGATATTAAATGTTATAAAAATCTATATTCTTAAACTAACTAAAAAAATGAAGTCTATTTTTTAGGTGGCAAGTAAGAAATTCGATCATTTGGGTCAAACAAGTGAACCTATGATGCCATAACTAAATACTAAAGTTTTAAAAATAAATAGAAATACACAAAATAAGAAATAGAATATGAACAAAAATAAGTATGATAAATAAGAAGATTTTTATTAATRATAGAAATGAAATATAAAATTTAAAACTGCCTTAGCAATGAAACCACTTTCATTTTTGTCAAATGATGAAAATGGAATACAAAAATTATGAAAAAAGAGAATTAGTGTCTACTCCATCACCCCATCACCCTACTAAATAGATCAAATGGTTCAAAGGTTTGATTAGCTAGGTCACCATGTTGTTGGACAAGTCAATGGCTGTTTTATAGACAAACAATTTGGTGGAAAATGAACCTAAAATCCTGATTAAGTAACAATTTCATCTGTCAAATCAGTCTCTACGCAAGCAATGGTTCAAGCACAATAAATTGAAAACATTGATATAAGCTATAGGGTAAGAATATTTGATACAAGTCTTTAAGCCGAAAAGAAATAAATCACCAATATATATAGAATTGTTGGTGTTGTTATCGCCCACGTGCATATCGGCTGAAAAAAAAAAAATCAATATGACTTGATGACTTTCACAATTTATCAATATAACCCAGATGTCGTCGTCATCTTCACCCGATGTAAAGAAATTTCTCGTTTTCAAGTTTTGATTGGTCTGCACATTTGCTGAAAAAAGAGACACCATAGTTTTATGAAAATAAATTTATTACTAAAAATAATTATTTTCAATAAATAAATAATTTTTATTATCAAATAATTTATTGTAATTACAGTAAACAA